ATCAAAAGTCGCAATTATTATTATTATTTTTATTCAGTGGCGGAAACAAGCTTCCATACCCTAAACATGTTAAAGTTTTCATAAATTTTTGTTAAATTGTATACGTTTCACGATTTTAATTAATTAGACAAGCTTTTTGATTACTAAAATTTTATGTAACCATTAAAATTAAAATAATAATAATCCAGAAAAATGCAAACGAAAAAAAAAGGAATTAAGGAAAAAATTTGAATTTAATAGTTAATGATGAGCACTGAATGTTCTAATCACACTTGATATATATAATTTATTGATATTTATTTATATAAATATTGATTTTTGTTTTTGCACGCTGCATTCAAAATCCATTTGGCTTAAAAATCTTTGAATGGGCATGCTTCCATTTTTGAATGGATTCTTTGAATGGGCATGCTCTGTCTGGAGTAGCAACTGCGTTTTGTGCATCATATTGTTTACCTGGACAGTCGCGTAGTTTGAGGAGTCAAATTTTCCAATGCCATTTGGCCTAATATTGCCTTTAGGTGGGTGACCTCCACCTTGTCTCCAACATACAACTCGACCAACGCCTCTTCTCTCCATAATGAGTCATCATGGAGTTTGGATCCACATCACAGACAAAGGTCCAGGATGGGAATCTGGGCCGGAGTCATCCTGGCCAGTTGCACCTGGAAAATAACAGCCCAGTGTCACACAGATGAGAGTGTTTTTCAGTCCTGGTCCAGGAATCCCCAACACTGAATATTTTCTGTTTTCCCAATCAAGGTTAATTTACCTAAACTGTGTATCTCAAATTAAAGTGTTAGGGGACTCTAGGACCATGATTGAGAAACCAAAGTACAATAGCTTACATTTACCTAGGTTAAGTCAACCAGGATAAAGTACTAAATATTCAATTATGATTTTAAATTCACTCGCTTTTTTCCCTTTTCCCTGCAGACTCGGATAACCAGCGTTTGATGATGTCCTGTTCTTCATACATGGGCAAGGAGGACGGAGGGCCTCCTAGCAGCTCTTTCTGTCTCCTCTGTTACAGCCAAAGTTGTCTTACGCCCGTTTCACACATACTCCGTTTGCAGTGCGTATGCGGTGCGTATTTTTTTCCGTACCCATGTTAACAGGTTAGAGCTTTCACACTGCACGCGGATGCAGTCCGTCGATCCGTTCCAGTTGCGGTGCGTATACAGCAGTGCAGAGATCGTTTCCGCACCGAGTCTATTTCTGCTGTGCTGCAAACGCTGAATTAAAGTGACAGCGCACGGTTCGTGGTCAAAATGAACACAGACTGACCTGAATATGTAGTAATTTCACCATAAATCCATTTAATTCAATAAAATGTAGTAATCTCACCATAAATGTATTTAATTAAATAAAATGTAACCATAAATGCATTAAATTAAATACTACTATTTTTCATAGTCATCTTACTTTAAGGCTGGGATAAAGCAAGGAAAGCTACAATTTACTTCAACAAGGCCACATAATGAACGACACTCGTCTCATTCGTTGAGGTGGAAAAACAAGTTCTTTGTGACATGCAAGATTTATTGTATTAAGATTTAAATTATGCAAAAGAAAAGGTATGAGTCTGCTGTTTTTGTCAATTTTAAGTTTTAATTTAAAATGTTTGCAATTTTAATATAAGTACATGGTTAAATATGTTACCACCTGCTTGAGCAACTTAATATATAATCTATATAAAAGTAATGCATTGAATAATACGTTGTTTAAAATGTGTTTAAACGTGAATACGTCTATAAAGAGTGTATATGTGTAGCTTACAAAGAGAATCGCACTGGAGGCAAAGACTTTTTTTAAATAAAAGTTGCTGATGACTTGATTTGATTGATGATTTTTTGAAATACAAAAAGTGAGTAAATGTGTTTGTGGTACAGCTGCGGATCAGTTGCGCACTGCAAACGCACGCAGCATATGTGAAAGCACTATAGCGCGTGCTGCTCCTGTACCGCATACGCACCGCAACACGCACCGCATACGCACTGCACACGGAGTATGTGTGAAACGGGCGTTAGGCCCCGTCCACACTACTGCATTTTCGTTTAAAAACGGAGACCTTTTGCTACGTTTGCACCTCCCGTCCACACCAAAACGGCAAAAACGGAGACCCAAAACGGAGAAGTTTAGAAACGCTGCCGATCCGTTTTTCGTTTTGAATCTCCGGAGGGCGTTTTAGTGTAGACGGGTCAAAACGGAGGACTTAAGAAACGATGACGTAGTAGAGGCTCACGCTCGGCTCTATGATTGGGTGTCATCAGTCATGGCGTATATCTTTGCTAGCCGCTGTTGTACAAGTAAATTCTGCATTTTACACTGCTATAACTGCCTACATGCGCCGGAGTCAAGCTATTATTCGAGCGATCTGTGACAATTCCCATGTGCAGCGGCGGCGTTGACCGTACATGGAGCGTCGGTTTGGGGTTAACCCATGGTGGGATAATTTTATCAATGAAGTTGTGTTTACACCGGCACGCGCATGCCCAATGTTGGTGAATGGTCACGTGATCCGCGTTTTCAGTCGTTTTAATGTGGACGGAGATCAATTCTAATACGCAGCTAAAACGCTGGTGTGGACGGAGATCGTATAACGACTATTAACAAACACATATCTCCTAGAGAGGGCATAGTTCTTAACCACCCTCTTCAAACTAAGGGTCACTACCATTTTTAATTGACATTTAATTTGCACATACTGTGGTGGTCATATATGTGGCAATGCCTATGTCTATTTTATTTTTGTCTGAGACAAAAGTCAAAGCTTTTTGGCTCCTGCAGGCCCCAACACACTTAATCTGAAGTGGGGCTCGGCGAGACGGCGACTGTAGTGGGTTGCCATCCTCAGAGTAATACAAAAAACTTGAATAGTTATGATGACTTTCATTATGTTTCCAATTACTTTTTAAAACATTAAGATATCATGACAGGACAGAAATTACTTAATGCGATTATAGTTTAACAGTCTCCAACAGGACAGATTTAAAATGATTTTATACCCACATACCGGTAACTGCATCAAAACATATTATTACTATTAATATATTTTTCTTTCTATATCTCTATTACTGTAGCCTACATTACCTTACTTTTTTTCGTTTTCTTTATAATATTGTGTTAATTTCATATGAACATTCATATTTCATTTTTTGTGTGTGTAATTCCTGTGTGTAACTTACTTTCCTTCCGCACTGGAAGCACATAAATGACTATCATAAAATCTTATGTCAACCTTTTCAAAGTTAATAATTCCTTTTAAAGTAAAAACTAAAGTGTCTTATTAAACACTTTATCCTGTCAGGTAACGTTAAGTTAGTATTCTGTCAACTGTCATACAATCTTCATAATCGTTAAAAGGTTTCCTCTCAAAGACTTTCCTGTCAGACTATCGTGTCAAAATATACGTCGTAGGTATGATTTTAATAGTCATTTACGTAACTTTGTTATCTAGAGTAACTTTTTCAAAAACCATTCATTTAATTTATTGTAATTCAATAATTACCTCACCTCTAAAAAGACCGTTGTTCTTTGCCGCGGAATGGACATGCGCGCGCAGTCACATGCTCCAGTTGTGCGCGCGATGTTGTAGAGAGCTCAGTTTTTTTTTCATTTCATAGTTTCATTATTAATATATTATTTTATTAATTACAATTATATAATACTATATATTAAATACAAATGTTAATACATTTTAGAATAAACGTATTATTTCAATAAGTTGTAATTTATTACAACAAATAATTAACTGAATAATGCTTTCAGTGTTTTGCTTTTTGCTAGCATGTTTTTTTTCCACTAGCTTGTTCATATCAGTGGCGTACTTCAATCTTCCATTATTTGTATTTTATTTTGTTGTTAGATATGGTTTTTCGATGGTTACGTTTCACGTTTCTGTAACGATGTAAAAGAAATCCCTAGTCCGTATTTTGAACTTGATACTGTTTATTCGTCTGTGACTCTGTGTGATCGATAGAGGGCAGTAAAACACTTCTGCTGCAGCTCTGTCTGCCTGGTATGGCAAATCTAAATTCAGTTCACGCACTTATCCTTTACTTTGTATTCATCAAAACCAACATACATAAACTAAAAACATTCCCAACGATCATAGACTATTAAAATAAAAGCGACCATAATCAATCACTTTGATATTAAAATATGCAGAAACAATACATTGTTCATTTTTTTTATTTGATTTTTTATTTGTGATAAATCTGGTTATGTGTTCAGCTTACTGAATATAGTGTTACTGTTATTTAACTGACGACTGCGACTGATTTATATTTCAGAAACATAAACGGATGGACATGAGTGACTGTGACGCACCAATAAAAACCCACGCCGCAGTGCATCACGGGAAATGGAGTTGTATGTCGAAGATACGCACATCCTATTACTTGCAGAGTTTATTAATATTTCTCTTTCCAAAAAAATAAAGGGTGACAGCGAATCAGCGACACTATATATTTAGTGTCCCGTCGTGAAAATTAAGTTGAAAAATAATCAAATATGTTCATGTTTGAATGAGTTCAAAATAGTGATGCTCCAAAATAGCAGCTTCATGGGCGTTAACTGTTTCTATTCCCGCGAGATTTACGTGGAGCGGGGTGTGTCCACGCTCGTTTTATTTATTACTGTACAATAAGCAGTGATACTGTGAGAACGAGTGAGAAAATAGTTTAAAACAAACGCACACAGCTTACCAGCTTCCGAATAAAACCAGTTCCAGCCTACTCGCTAGGTTCACATCACATCCCATGAGTGTCAGCCTGAGGAAGTGAACTCTCGCGATGGTTTGCTATTCCTTCGAGCTTACAGGGACTTCCTCTTTTTCATTTTTTTTTATCATCCAAAGAACAGCACGGAAATACGACATGCCGATAGAAATTACAGGATATTATTTTAAAAAAAGCAACGTTTGTCCTCCGCTTTCGTTTCAGCATTCAGAGCGACGTGAATTCTCGCGTGTTTCTCGCGCGCATCTCGCGAGATTCGCGTCATTCGCTCTCAGACTCCATGATCTGATCCCGAGCGGAGCGGCGCGATCATAACTGCGTGTTCCGCGCGCGTTCAGGAGCGTCGTGCGGCGCTCACATCTCCGCTCAAATGGACTAGGAATGATCTTGTGAGGATGGAGAGTGTTAAACTAAAGAAGAGCAGCGCTCTGAGTGTGGCCTTGAGAAGCACAGCAGATGAAGAAGATGATGAAGGCCAGAGAGCATCGAACCAGACGAGCTCAGACCATCCCAGGACCAGAAGCCAGAGCCCAGCTGAGCTCAACATGGTAAACAAAGCCTGTAAAGGCAGCTCCAGTCTGCTGCTGAGGAAGAGGAGGGTGAAGAGGCACGTGTCCGGTATAAACTCATCTCACAGCCGGAGTCTGGACCGACAGACGCTGCTGAGACACCGAGCCAGTCCTCAACTACAGCTGTCAGACCGACAGTGGGTCCGCCAGGACCTGCGCCGGGGCTCCATCCACGTGCACGACCGGCTGCTGGCGTGGTCTCACCCGGCCCGGCCCGTTCTGTGCACCGTGGACAGCACCGCGACCGAGATAGCCCAGCGTCTGCAACAGGCCGGCGGCAAAACGTGCTCCGTCCTGAGGCTGAACGCCAAAAGCTACCTGTCCACCGACGTGAACGGGAACTGCGATGGAGAGTACCCGCTCCGGCACCTTCACACCGGGACCGAGAGCCTCCCGGATCAGCCCGGTGACCGGTTACGCCTCCTGCTCCTGGAGAAGGACCATCCGTACCACCCGCAGGAATACGACATCTACACGCCCTCGGAGGCCAGCGTGGACCGCTCGTCCCCTCAGGACGAGGACTCCCTGAAGAGGTTCACGGGGTCCGATGTGGAGACCAGCAGTGCTTGTGACGAGCTGAGCTCCGGGGCCCGGTTCAGCCAGCACCGGGACTCGCTCAGCGACGACATGATCCTGGGCACGGATGCGTCCGCGTTCGACAGTAGCGCCGCCGAGGGCCTGGACACGTACGGAAGCTCCTCGGACGAGCTGGAGCTGGACTGTCCCACGGAGCCCGTCCTGCCAGGGCCCGTGCCCGGTGACCCACCGCCTGCTCTCGGACACAGTCCGGGGTCAGCGGGCACACCGTCCGATTCGGACCCCGGCCCGGCCCTGTATGTTCAGCTGCACGGCGAGGCCGCCCGGCGCCTGGGCCCCGATGAGAGGCCCCTACAGATCCAGAATGATTTTCTCTTTAAACTGGGATTTAAGGACCCGTGGCGGGTCCAGGAGGAGGGGATGAACACTGAGCTGGGATCTCTCCTGCGCTTCTACGCAGGTAAACAACTGATGCTTTTGCTGTTGTACTACTACTTCATGTTTACGGCCTGTGTGAGAGAGGAGTCGTGAGGCAGGTCCCATCGTCCCCCATTCACACAGGAAGAGTTTGCTGTCAGCTGGTGATGTGTGTTCATGGAAATGACTCCTGAATTTAGAGTAGAAACAGCGACTGTGGCTCATGTACACAAGTTTCTGCGTGTTGACGTAGGCGAGATCGGTTCACCTTCTCTGTGTATGAGAAGTCACAGTCTGACAAATCCCTTTCAAACCTCCTAGAGAAATGTGTCGCCCAAAGTAGTAGTTTTCATTGAGTTGTATTCGTCGATTTGGGAAAAGGTGTCGGCTAAATGAATATTGTGGCGAGCATCTAAAGTGTTTCAGTTTAGAGAGGGATTTGCAGACTTTGGCACAGCTTGGCACAAATCTGAGCTTCTGCCTCTGACAGTCTAAAGGAGACACACGTGAGGCACGGCTTTATCTCAGGAGAAGCAGTTTCAGGCGTTAAAGAGATCTTTATTTGTGTTTGGAATGGCTTTGAATTACTCCTTATAGAAATTTTTACTTTGCAAAGTGCGCAAGCTTGTTTTGGAAACACTACATGTGCATGCAGAAGATTTGACTGGAGAGATCAGCTCGCTGACACTGAGGTCACGTGACGTCACGGTCAAGCAGTTGTTATATGACACGTGCATGTCAAAAATAGTGCTTAATTATTTACTTACTTCAGAAACCTGTGTTACAAATGAATAACTGGTCACACTTTATATTAGGTGTCTCTTTAACTATTATGGTCTGACAAAAAATGTTATGCACAATGTGCTTATTGTGTTGTGTTGCGAAACACTTGCTGCTATTGCGATGGGATACGCTAGGGTGAAGTTAGGAACAGGGATAATGGGGCAAGGAAAGGGACAATGTGCAATTATAGATGCGATTACAGAAATGAATTGCATGCAGGTATTTTTTACATACAGTACAATGTAAAACATTGCATTTAATCAAATGATTAGTTTATGGCCCTGTTTACACCTGGTATATAGATGTGTTTTGGTCGATCGGATCACAAGTAGACGAGGCAGACACATGACCGTTCACACCTGGTGTTTTAATCCGTCTCTTTTGTCCACTTTCAATCTCTTCTGACTGATTTCTTCGAGGGGAGGGTCTATGGGCGGGTGAATGTATGGGCTTTTCCAGATCTTTCCATCTAATGGACGACATAAGCTCACACAATTTACATGAACGTGAAAGGAGAAAACAGAAAAACGTGACGAGCAGCAGCTTTCGTTTCTGCTCTGACAGCCGTGAGACCAGCTGAACCTGAGTGTGTGTGTGAGTGTGTGTTAGAAATCAGGAATGATGAGAGAACATTGTGCCTGCTACGTTTTTCGTCTTCAAACCAAACTTGGGTCTCCAGCCCAAGTTTAAACCCGTCTGTCCCATACTGCGCTTCCCATAATGTTACGCATTAGGTCAGTTGGCGTAGAGAAGACGGTCATTTGTGGCAGTTTGAACACATTCGACCACATGAGCGTTTACACTACGAAAGCAATCCGGGCGGATGAGTTTTCTATACATCTGGAAGTGGTGGAAAGTGGACAAGCTCAAAGAGACCCCGTTTACTCCTGTATTTAGCGTCGTTCTCTTCCCATCCGATCGACCAAAACGCATCTTAATAACAGGAGTAAACAGGACCTAAATGTTACTAATAGTTAAAGGCACTTAATATAATTTTGGACCGAATAACCTTGCAAATTTAACCTCACTGAAGTGTTTACAAACTTTAAAAACACATGCTGGAAAGTTAGCATGAGTTGATGTTGACACTGATCCTATATGATGATTCAATGCCCAACATGACCCTGCAGTAGCTGTCTCTAAAACTTCAGCAGCCGCAAGAAGAACTACATGAATTCACAATTCTCCATGTTTATGTTCCCATGGATCTCTCTCCCTTTCCCTCTCCCCCTCTCTCTCCCCCTCTCTCTCCCTCTCTCTCCCCCTCTCTCTCTCACTCTCTCTCTCTCTCCCTTTCCCTCCCTCTCTCTCTTTCGCTCTCTCTCTCCATTTCCCTCCCTCTCTCGCTCTCCCTGTCACTCCCTCTCTCTCCCTCTCTCTCCCCCTCTCTCTCTCACTCTCTCTCTCTCTCCCTTTCCCTCCCTCTCTCTCTTTCGCTCTCTCTCTCCATTTCCCTCCCTCTCTCGCTCTCCCTCTCACTCCCTCTCCCTCTCTCTCTCTCTCCCCCTCTCTCTCCCTCTCTCTCTCTCTCTCTCTCTCTCTCTCTCTCTCACTCTCTCTGGTAATAAACATGGCACCGTTCTCTGCTCCCACGGATGCACATGACATGGCCACAAAACCATTGTGAGCCACTCTTGTCGTTTGGACGGCGCTCTTGTTCCGGTCTGTTCATTATCATTGAAATGAAAGGCTGAATGCTGTGTTGGTGCAGTGGAGGGTGAAGAGAGAGGGGCTCTGGATATTTAGATGCTGTTCGCCCGGCCTGTTCTTGGCTCGCGCTCCCTTTACCGTCTCACGCCAGCGTCCATTGGCCCGTCGGCCAACAGTGGGGCTTCAGGAAGCGCTTTCATTCACGCCGCTGAGAAAAACAGGGCTGTGAGGAACACGCATGGGGGAGGAAAGGGCTGTGGGAGCAGGAGTGGATCTTAGCAACTGTTGGAGCCGTTGTCTTAGGGTTAAGAGCTGCAGGCTTTTACAGTGTTAACCAGAGGCTGCACTTACTTTAACCCTAGAAAACCTACTGTGTCGCACATTTCTAAGGCCTCTAAATAATCAAAATGTTGCTGAAAAACCTGTTGCACACACACATTCTGCTGCCTCATGCCTCATGATTTGGTAGTTTATACATTTTTGAAATGTCCACCACTTTCAGTCTTCTTGCTGTGAAATCTTTTTGTTAAGATTTTAATAAAGCAAACATAAGAATAATTGATGTTGTGATTTCAAGATGAGCACTTACTGGACTGAAGCAACTTAGCTTTACTTGAAGATCAATACATCATTTGTCAAACATCCATCCGGCTGTTGAGGAACGTCAATCGCTGTTGTATTGCATTGCATTAAACCTGAACATTTACATATCATCTTACTAATACATATTATTGGGAACTAATTATATTATATTATTGGGAACTTTTTATGTGAGTAGGCTGTTCATTTTTTTTTTTTAAATGACCAAATGAATTGGGGAAAGAAAAACAAACACTAGCTTGAAAAAAAGCTACATTTTAATTTCTGGTTGGCGCCATATTTCTGCATAATAACTCTATGAAATGAAGAACAGTTCAGTGCGCGGGCATGGAAAAGGTACGATAGTCGATAATGATAGCGATAATCTCTGTCGTCGAGCCTGACGTAAAGGTTTGCATTGGTCTGGGATCTTGGCAGATGTTGGCGAGATTAAAGCTGCGGGCCTCATGTGAGGAGGATTAATGGCCGGTCACCTGATTAGACCCATCAGTCATCACTCTGAGTCTGCATAACGCGCAGTGTGTCCTCCAGTGTTTTCCTCGTTCCTGGCATTGGGTCAGAGGTGTCCGAAGGCTCGTTCCCTCCCCCATCTGAAGGCATGCGAAGTGTGTACTCAGACTCTTCGGGAATGTCAGGCATGTACGGCTCACTGAAGTGTGTATTGCATCATGTGTTACATCAGTCTAAGTAGGGCTGCACGATTTGGGGAAAATGTCATATTGCGATTATTGAGGTCAATATTGCGATTGCGATAAAATAAACAAATGGGTTCATGAGTCAACTTGCTTGGTTCTCAAGGGAAATGCACACACAGATTAGTGATGATGCTGAAATGTGTATTTCAACAACAACTACTGCACAGTGTTTTTCAAATTAAAATAATATTTTTTACAAAATTAAATAATGACATCTTTGCTTTACTGCAAACTTGATATTGTCTCAATAGTACAATAGTATAAAATAAATAGAACAATAAATAAGAACATTTGTATTGCTCATGAAAATACGATATTTTGAACATTATGTGCAGACAAACGAGCATTTACGCAGGACGTGTGTGTGATTGTCGAAACATTTGGTAACTAAACAAAAGTTTAAGTTTAGTGACAACATGTCATAATGTGTACATGGTACAATGACTGGGCTACTGCTTTTATTATTGCTTGACACAAATCTTTTCACAATTTCAATTCAACTCCTGTGATTGATTTCCGATTTTGAATCAATATCGATTCATTTGGATAAATATTACGTACAGTAGTTAATTTTTCTCAAGAAAAAACTAATATCTCACCTAATGCTGTAAACATACAGAGAGCACTGTCAGCTGGTATTATTATTAAAGGTTAAAAATAACAACTCAAATTAAATCTAATGTGGTTTTTACTAGGCTATAATAACAATGCTACAATTTGTTATTGATATAAGTAAAACTAATAAATATTTAATATAGTGCACATATTCAGCAAAATACTCCTCTCTCTCTATATTGTCTGGCCAACTAATGTGCTTTCCTCAAATGGCTTTCCTGAGGTAAATGTAACGTTATGGGACATCGTTCTCCAGCTGTTATTGACCTCTTCCCGCGGTCGAAAAACACAGATTGATCGATATTATGTATGAGGCATTAACATTTTGGTAAGCTGTACTGTATCTTTCAACACACCTATTGTTCATTCGTGTTTATTTGCTATACCCATTAAAACCGGATCACACATCTGTGTGTGTTTACCTTTAAGACCGGCAAACGCATCTGCGTCATTTTGATGTTTTTATCATGTTTTTATCTGCTATAGAGACTGAGAAATTAAGATTTTAGATTTTGACAAATATTTCTGGAAACCCTAAGGTTTTGGGAGGGGGTTTACAGAAAAGTACTTAGGCATAAAAGGGCCTTTTTTAGCAGGCGTTTTAGGCCTAAATGGGTTAACTAGAATGTCTAAGTAACGTACTTATCCTGCAGATCTGTCAAAAAACACAGTGCATGATGATGATATGATGAATGACTGA